AAAAAAAAAAAAAAAAAAGAAGTGCATGTCACTGAGGGATGGTTCAGGAATGTCACAGCCTGAGCACAACCATGTGACCAGCACCCAGATCAAGAAACATAACTGGCAAGTGTCCCGGAAATTCCTACAGTGTCCCTTCCCATTCTGTACACCCGTCGTCCCCACCCCGGGAGCACATGCCCTTCCTGACTTCTAACTCCTCAGGTTAGTTTTGCCTGTTGTAGTTTATATGAGTGGAATTAGAAAGTACCGACTTCTTTGGGTTTGGTTTTGACTTCATTTTTTTTTTAAGATTTTATTTATTCATTTGAGACACAGAGATACAGAGAGAGAGCACGAGCAGTGGGAGAGGCATAGGGAGAGGGAGAAGCAGACTCCCTGCTGAGCCCGGAGTCCGATGCAGGGCTCCATCCCGGGACTCCGGGATCATGACCTGAGCCGAAGGCAGATGCTTAACCGACTGAGCCACCAGGCGCCCCTTGGTTTTGACTTCTTTCTCACAGGATTTTCGTGAGAGGTCCATCCACAGAGAGCTAGTTGCCTCCTGATATTCCATTTTATGAATGTATCATAATTGATGCAGTCTACTGTCGATGGGTATTTGAGTATTTTGTCAGTTTGAGGTGATGGTGGTTCATGCTGCTGTGAACATTCTAGAACACGTGTTTTGGTGAACATATATACACATTTCTGTCGAGTACATACCCAGGAATAGGATTGCTGGGGCACGGGATATGTGTACCTTTAACTTAGTGCCCATTCCCAAAGAGAAGAAACGTTTATTCTCATCTTAGTCCCTAGACAGGCATGCATAAACTCAGCAACATGAGCATTTGGGACTGGATATAATTCTTTGTTGTTAGAGGCTGTCCTGTGTGTTGTAGGATGTCCCAGGTCACGATCCTCCAGATGTCAGGAGCACAGCCTCCCTCCCTAATTCATGACCTTCAAAGAGGTCTCCACACCTTGCCGCATGTTCCGTTGTCTCCCCGGGGTTGGGGGGCAGGTCAGAATTACCCTATCACTCCGCTGCTCTAGGCTGTGAGCACTTGAAGGGCCGGGACTTTTCCTGTTATTTCCCCGCCATCTCCCTAGGACCAGGCATGCTGGTGGCACTCAAGAGGTTTGTGTTATTGTTTCGAAAACAGACGTGAGGGGAAGACTTGCTCTGCTGGCCCAGGGCGGGCCCGTCCCCGGGACTGGCCACCACTGAGCAGGGCAGGCCCACGCAATGCGGGGCAGGGGTTGACGCAGCCCAAGGCCAGTCTCCATCGGTGGGCATTTTCGGGGACTGGCCCGCGGCCATGGCCTCGGTCATCCTGTCTGATGACACCGTCCCCGCCCCCCCGGCCCCCTCCCCTCTCCTCTGGGCAGGCGTGGCGTCCTGCACCTGCACGAGAGCAGCGGGATCCATGACATCGGCCTGCCCCAGTGGCAACTCTCACTCTGTCTGATGGTCGTCGTGGTCATCCTGTATTTTAGCCTCTGGAAAGGAGTGAAGACCTCAGGAAAGGTAATATCTTTGTTTCTATTTAAGTTGGGACGTTGTCCTGAAAGAGAAGATCTTTTTTTCTAGCTGTCACTAGATGGTCAGCAAAAAGCAAGGGTGGGAGGAGTGGAGGTCCGGAGCCTGGGTTTGCCCCCATCCCGGCTCTGCCACTGGCTGACTGGGAGGCCCGCGACAAGTCCCTTCCCTTCCCGAAGCCCAGGACTCCCTCATCCAGGGGTGAGGGGGTACATCAGGGCTCCATACTTCTCCACCAAAGCTCCCAGGGATTGGGACACCCCAAGGGTCTTGGGAAAAAGCCTCAAGTGACCTAGTGACATGTGTTTGATAAATCACAAATTCCGGCCTAAAAGCGGATGCACATTTGCACCCTTCTCTGGAATATAACCATTTCCTTCACTATCAAATCCATGCACTTTGTCCAGCAGAGTACTGAGTGCCTGCAAGGGTCTAGGTTTCCTGGGAAGAGGGGCATGGTGGGGGAGGAGGGCCTCCAGAGTCGGCATTCTGACCTGGGTGACACATCCCCCCCGCCCCTGGCTTCAGTCCCTCGGGGGGAGTACACACATCTCATGGCCCATGTTGATTCTGAGCCCGGGGAACATCAGAACAACCCCATTTGGACCCTGTGGGATCCATGTGGAGCTCCACTGTCTTAATGAGGCTATAGGTGAGAAATGGTCTTTCCAGTGTTGTGATTAGCTACTGCTGTGTAACAGAACAGCCTGAGACATAGTGATGTAAAAGAACCATTTGGTACCTCTCATGATGCTGTGGGTTGACTGAGATCCGATAGGTGGGTCTTCTGCTCCATGTGATGTTGCCTGGCTCCATATCTGGGGGCTTGGCTGAGCTAGAATGTCCAAGATGGTGCACACTCATGGATGGTAGTTGGTCCTGGCTAGGAGCCCAGCTGGAGCCATCAACCAGAGCGTCTTGGGTTGTTTCCACAAAACCTCTCCAAGTGGCTTGGGCTTCTCGCAGCATGGCGGCGGAGTTCCAAGAGCAAGTTCCAGGCAGACAAGCCCCAGTGTGCAAGTAGCTCTTCCCATCTCTGCTTGCATCATGCTTGCTGTTGGCCCAATGGCCAAGACAAATCTTGTGGTAAAGCCCAGAGTCAGTGTGGGAGGGGACTAACCCAGGGGCGAGTTCACTGGGGGCCATGAGGCAACAGTCTACCGTAATCAGGCAAGTGGGACTTTGTGAGAAGCCTCATTAAACAAGTGACTGGGCAAGTGGCATGCATCAGGGTGATCTCTGGTATTCCTAGAGTCCTTGGTCATGCCATTGAGGGCAAAGGTGGTGGCAGGGGACCGGCAGCCAGTGGGGCTGAAATCTGTCAAGAAAGGCTTCACATGGAACCTCCTGTCTGCATGTTGAAGACACAGTGTCTGCCCCAAGGAGGAACCCAAATAAAGTGCAGACCAGGGCTGCAAGCAATTCTGAGATAGAGCAAAACCAGGCGAGGACCACTACCATCCCAGCACCTGGCACATAGTAGGTCTTCAGTAAGTATTTAGTGAAGGATTCATGAGGAAAGGAAGGAAGGTAGGAAGAAAGGAAAAAGGGTGGGTGGATAACTAAGTTGGGGAGCCTCGCTGAGTGTTCTTTTGAATTCAGTACAGCGTATTAAGCCTTTATGGACACCTACTGTGTGCCAGGCTTGAAGCTAGTACTAGTGATGTAGGAATAAACGAGGCACGGCCCTTCTCCAACTGCTTATCATCTTATGTGCATTACAGACAGGCATGGGTCACCCGGTGTGACTGTCTCTTGAGTCTTCATCCAGAGACACACGTGTGTGCCCCTCGAAATAAACAGTAATGGTCACAAACTGTACACACACTATTCTATGTTTTGCCTTTTTTTTTTAAATTTTTTGACTTGACTTTGGAGATCATTTCGTATCAGGTACTCAGGTTGCATTTTAACTGAAGTACAAACTGGACGTTTCAACTGTCCTTAAATCAGTTTAGCGGATCACCACAATTTTTTGACAAGGAAATGAACTGGAACACATTGCACACAGTAAAGTCGGAGCTGGCTTGTGGGGTTTGGATTTTAGCTATAGCAATCCGCGTGTTTGCATGTGTTTTGTGTCGGTATACAAGGTGCTTATTACCGTGAGTTGTCCCAGTGAAAAAAGTGAGAGATCCTGCATCAGCATTTGCTCTTTGAGCTAAAGACCGTGGAGAAGGTGGCGTTTGGCCCAGGTCTCTAAGGACAGGAGCAGATAGGGACGGGGCAGAGGGAGGGGATTTTCAGCGGGAGGAACCACCTGAGTAAAGCCACAGAGGTGCTGAAGCCCCAGTCCAGCCTTGTCCAGCCCCTCTGCGCCTCTCCTGGGTATCAGGAGCCGGTGGGAGAATTGCGGAAGGAGTATGAGCTTTACTGCCGCATCTGGCCTGGACGTGAGGCCCCCACAGCTCCTGATACTACATTCCAAGATGAAATGCCCTGTAGCCGTTGCCAGAGTTGGAACAGCCGGCCCTTCCTAGCGTAGCCCTTTGTCAGGAGCTGAGCAGTTGTTGTCTGCAGGGAGACTGAGGATAAGAAGGCGCAGAGCTGAGCTTGCTCAGTTCCTCTTTGCAAAGGCACCTCCGAGGAGTCATGCCCTCCCCTTTGGAGTGTGAGGAGGGGCCAGTGGCAGTGGCAGGAATGTTGCCCTAGGGAAACCCCCCCACCAGGTGGAAACGAGCCACACGGCAGCCACAGCCCACATTTTCCGTAAATCCCCCCAAAGGAAGCCGCGGTCCACATTCTGCGTAAATCTTGCAGCTTTCTGGCGGCTGAACAGGGAAGGGCAGTCCCTGTGAAGGGAGCTTTCCAGAATGGGGAGCTTCACTCAGGACATTCCTGTGCCCTGTCTTTAATTGTTTATATAAAGTGGCTCATGAGAAAATCAAGAGCATAGCTTCTTTCTGCCCAGACTGCATCTGGAACAGGACAGGGCTTTTCTTAGCAGGCTTCTGCAGCCACAGAGCAGCCTAAAATGAATTGCAAATGTTCACACTTCCCGTCTTGGCAAGTGAAGGCTCTGTGCCTGGGAGGAGATGTGACTCCACTGCGGCAACTGGGGGGGGGGGGGGATGGCGGGGCAGAGTCTGAATCAGGGAAAGGGGTGACCCCACACTGCACACTCTGACCTTGGCCCATTGACCACCTCAGGGCAGAGGGTGGAGGTTTGAGTGGGGAGTTAGCCCCCAGGGAGTCAGTTGGGCAGCATGTGCACTGAGGCTTGCAGTCCTGGAGTCCTGCCTGCCTCCCCCATCTCTGGAGTCCTTGGCTGAACTTGGCTCTTAGAGGATGAGCCCAGTCACCGAGTCCCTAAATGTCAGACCAGAAGGCACACAGAGGCCATCTACTCCACTCTGCTCGTACACATGGGGAGGCCGAGGCCTGGAGGGGGACAGGGTGTCACCACAGTCTCGAGCACAACTAGGACTTGGCCTTGGCTCCCAGATCTCGGTGGAGTGAGTGATTAAGAACATGGCTTTGTGGCCAGAGCACCTGGTTGGAGTCCAGGCGCTACTATTTCCTGCTGGGTGACCTTGGAATTAAGGCTGCTCCCTACTGAGGGCAGTTAATAATCTTGCCAACCTCCAGGGCTACTGGGAGGATGGAGGAGAGGTCCTTGGTGCAGGGCTGGCAGATGGAAATTGCTCAATAAATGATCCTCGTCCTGCCTTTGACTCCTTCCTCAGCGCCCCTTCCAGTGCTCCGTCCCCACCTCAGAGGCTTGCAGACTCTGCTGCCGCTCGGTGCAGCTGTGGGGAGGGGCGGGCCCAGCTCCTACCCGCTCTGTTTACTTATTGGACTAAATCTTCAGAAGGCTCAGGCTCCCCTCTGCCTGAAGATAAATCAAGACAACAGAACTGGCTGGGGGCGGCCACCATGTTCTGCCGGGGGCACGGCCAGGTCCTGGGCTGTTTGGGGGATGGGAAAAGACAGACCACCTCTCAGATTCTGGCAAAGAGTGGTGGGGTTGGGGAGAAACCTGGACCAATTAAAAAAAAAACACCCGAATTTTAGAATTTTTGAATTGAAAGGTCATTTTGTGCCTTGTGAGTTTCAAGTCCTAATTCTACCCAAGTCTTCCCACAAATGGTTCAGTACAAGCTGGTCTGCCTTGTTTAGTGACTTAATCAGACCCCGTTACAGTGAAGAATATCATCTGCATATGAGCAATGAAGATGCTAAAATATTTACAGCTTGGTGGTTTTTTTAACGTAACATCAGTATGTACCCCTCACCCCACAAATCTTGTATGTCTTCGTTATTTGTGTAAATGTCCCTAAAACCCAGTTTGGAGGATCACACATTCTGAATCATTAGAGGTTAAACCAATGCAGTTTTGTAGTGATAAAGCACGGACATTTGTCATATCTGTGTCAGAGTAGACCTTAGTGGTGACCCCGAGCAGTGCTTCTCAACCTTTAATGCACGTAAGAATCACATGGAAGCCTTGTCAAAACTCAGTATTGCTGGGTCTCTCCTTGAGAGTCTGATTCCATGGGGGTGGGGCAGGAATTTGCATTTCTGACAAGCTCCTAGGTGATGCTGATGTCTCTGGGCCATGGGCCTCACCTTGATCTAGGCAATCCTTTGCCTAATGCCTGGATCTCTGGCTAGATCTGCACACCTTCAGTGACGGGGACCTCACTGTCTCCCCATCTCCCTGGGAAGCTCATTCTCTCTTTAGAGAGCTCTATTCATTAGAAAGTTCTAATTATCAGCCATTGGTTTGAGTTTGGAGCCTCAGACATGACTAACAAGTGCTGCCCGCAGACCCCCACAGAGATTCTTTGGAGTCAAACCTGAGGATGCTTTCTGATGGGTGGAGTATGGTCTCACCTGGCCTGCTAGACTAGCCATTGGGTCTGCAGCCGGTGACATGAGTTGTAAGGGGAACACAGCAGTTTGGACCCAATACAAAGATATATGAGGGCTCCTCCCGTGCCTGTCACCAAAGAGTTAGAACCGTTTGTCCCCGTTTGGGAGAATAAATCCAGGATTAATGTGGGGCCAACCAACCAGATGCAATGGCTTCAATTTCCAAGGCCTGTTTTCCTCCTTGTTTCTGGCAATTTGTCCTCCTGTTCCTGCACTTCTAAAAGAAAACAGATCCACAAAGACTCCACCCCCTCCCACATAGTACAAGGGAATGATGGAGGAACAACTGGATAACATGAAACAGAGGAGCCTGATTCCTCTTCTGATTCCCTCAGAAGACATGACCAACCATTGATGCATTGGATTACTCCCTGACTCATTTGCTCATTCATTCACTTGCTCATTCTTTCATTTGTTCTCGGACTAACTTGGTCATTCACTAACCCTCAGCATTATCACTGGCTCACTCATCTGTCTACCCATCCATATACTCAGCAATTTACTTACCCATCCACGCATCTACCATTTAACTATCTACCCAACTATATATCCAACCATCCAGTCATCCATCCATCCAATCATTTATCTATACAACTGTCCAATCATCCATCCATCTATCTATCCAATCATTCATCTTTGTAACTGTCCAATCATCCATCCATCCATCCATCCATCCATCCATCCATCCATCCATCCACCTGATCATTCATCTATACAACTGTCCAATCATCTATCCCTCTATCCAACAAATATTTTTAAGCACTTATGTATGCCGTGTGCATGGTACAAGTTTGAAAAATATAGGGGTTTTGCTTCCAAGGAGCCCTCCCTGGTTTAATGGGAAGGACGAACAAGAAGCATAAATCCCAGTCCTTCCATGTAGGTATGGAAAACAGAACTTCGTTTTTCACATTTCATTTTTTGCGTTGAGTGCATCTCTTTCTAGGCCAGCGAAGAACTTTACCCTTAGTCATGTTTCAGGGCTTCCAAATTCTCCCCAGGGATGTGTGAAGATTCTAGAGGCTGCATAGTGCCAGGGCTTTGGGAGGAGGGACCCTCTGGTCCTTAAGTTTTAGCTGAGTCTTCTTGGGTCTGGCTAACCCAGCGCTGAGCAGATTTTTTGCTGGAGGCACAGTCTCCTTTCTGCAAGGCTCTCCATGGCTACACCTGCCTAGAGAAGTGATGTTGAACCTTGACTGCACATTTGCATCACCCAGGGAGGGGGGAAGCTTTCAAAACATACTGAAGTGCAGGCCCCACTATGGACCGACTCAATTAGAAACCCCAAGAATAGGATGTGGACTTCGACATTGGAAACTATAACGTTGCACAGAGTACTCTAATGTGTCAGGCGTAAGAAGGGACAGGGAGGAAGCCCATACAACCTTCCTCTCTCCCTACTTTTGGTCTCTGTTCTTCCACCTTGGGCAAGGGGGTGAGAGAAATGTCGCTTTTTAGTCTGGGGATAATCTCTTTCTGTCTGGGTTTCTGGACGAGACAGTTTGTCTTTGTCCTAAATCCGACCCGCGATAAAGAACAGCAGGAGATTCTGCTTCCTGCCCCACCACGTCCCTTCTTGGACAATGAATTCCTTCTTGGGCAATGAGTTGGGAGGCTCTGTTTGCAGGAAGGTAGAGGAGGTGGAGAGACGAGGAAGGGGGGACGAAGGGGATGGAGAGCATGAAGGGGAGGGAATGAGGGTGGAGAGCATGAAGGTGGGTGTGCTTAGATCTTCCCCGGGGCAACTTGAAGGGATCAGTAGAGGTGGCTCATAGAAGAGGTGTTGGGAGCCATGAGAACCTCTCTCTGCCCTGGCTGCCCTTCACTCCCGGGGCTGTGCCACCTCCGTGTGCGTCCGGACCCTCCCACCTGGTTCCGGGCTGCTCGGGGGAGTGGCCTGGCCTAGAGATGGAACTTGGGGCACGCGCCCGGCGTACAGGAAGGTTTGGGGAGGGCGTGCCTGGGTCCCTGGGCGAGGGCCTGACCCCACTGGCCCGCCCCCGTGCACTGCCAGGTGGTGTGGATCACGGCCACGCTGCCCTACCTCGTGCTCTTCGTGCTCCTGGTCCACGGCGTCACGCTGCCCGGCGCCTCCAACGGTATCAACGCCTACCTGCACATCGACTTCTACCGCCTAAAAGAGGCCACGGTCAGTGCCCAGGGGACCGCCCACCCTCGCGCCAGGGTTGGGGAGGGTTTTCGGGGCGAGCGGTGGTAGGAAATCTGGTCCCAGCCCCGCCACAAATCTGCGGCGTAGGACGGAGGACAGATCCGTCCCCAGGCTGCCGCTTCTCCGTCTGACTGACGCCCATTTGCTTTGCACCGGGCAGTCCCCCAGCTCGGATGGCCCAGGATTCTGTGGCTCTGCGTGGTGTCCTCTGCAGACCCCTCTTTCCGAAGGGAGCAGTACTCTGTCCTGAGTCCTGGTACCGGCCATGGCCTCCTAGCTGCCCCCCACCCCAGCCACCCCAGCCCTAATTCCACGCTCTGGTCCCCAGCCTCACCCTCGGCTGCCATCGCTTGATGTGGGCAGAAGCAGCGGCGGGAGGCGCAGGGCGATCTGGACCCTGCTGACCGCCCCATGCTCGCCACGCCTCCTCCAGCTCACTGTCCTGCCCAGAGGCACAGACTAAATGAAGGTGGGGTGAATGGGGAGTGGAGCCCAAGGTAGTGGGACGAGGTTGGGAGCAGAGACAGCCTTGGAGGTACCCGGTGCCTTGAGCATCTTCCAACCATGGCCGAGATCATTTCTGCCTCCTCCCTGAAGCCCGCGTCCATGCCGACACCTCAGCATTTCCCCTCACTCTTCCCAAAGGCTTCTTCACACTCTCTGAACCCACAGTAACCCCCACAGGCGGGAGCAACATAGGCTTAGGAGGGACGCGTCCCAGGACACACCTCCTATAATTACAATGTCCCAACACACCACAGTGTTATAGCCCAATAACCAAGGGGAAAACCTGTTTCCTTAGTAACTGTCAGAAAGCTAACAGAGCTTAGGACTCGCACCAGTCTCGTAAATTGTGAAATAAGTCAGAGTTCTATTTGTTCTCCACCTGCTCAAATATCCTGTCTTTCCGACGAGTAGAAACTGAGCCCGTGTGATGTCTCAGGGAGCAGACCTATCCTCCTCCATCGGATTGCTTCTCTTGTTCCAACCTGTGCTCGCAGAGTAAGGGAAGCCTAGGATAACATGAGCGAGGTGCCGGAAAACTCGAAAATCCCACTGGCATGGGGCTTTCGGTCCAAGTGGGCTGGATGTATCTGTCTTCCCCCCCCCCCGCCCAACCCCGCCCTGTGCAGATGTGCAGACAGGTGAAATTGACTAGTGCTAGAAATTGTTTTGTGGGGGGTGGGTGCTCAGATCTCTGGGCTTCCAACCACGTGCTTTCATCACCCAAAAGATGGAATAAGTAACCCCAGTGCCCTCCCCCCCAGGAGTCAGCACTGTCTGTGGGCTGGTGGAAGCTGCTAGGAATCCTTGTCCCTTTTCTGAAGATGCTGTCTGTGTAACTCCTGAAATGGTCCTACCCTCTGCCCTCACTCCATCCACATTCGAGCCTAGCACCACGAGTTTAGTAACTTCCTTTGAAAATCTCGACATCAGACTGAGCCCGTGAGTTCGTCCAGGCTGAGCTCGTTCGTGGTCACCAGAGCCAGGAGCTGCTAGAGGGGCCACAGTCTCTCTCCACCAAAGCTTCGTCCAGGCCCGTGGGGAGGAGTTGCGTGGCTGCCCGTCGCCGGGTCAGACCTCGCTTCCTCGGGTCTCAGACATCCGTGGTGCTCCCGTGCCTTCCCAGAGCAGCCTTCCCATTCTCTAGGATGCAGAGCGTGATGGCTCTTGTCTGCCCGTTTCAGGTATGGATCGATGCGGCAACTCAGATCTTTTTTTCCTTGGGGGCTGGATTTGGAGTCCTGATTGCGTTTGCCAGTTACAACAAATTTGACAACAACTGCTACAGGTAAGATCCTTGTCAGGGCTCTGGAAAGCTCTAGATCCTGGAGACCGACCCCTGCAGGGATGGGAGAGAGGGTTCTGGTCTGGGGCAAGTCAACTCTTGGGTTTCTCCCTCTGTGAAATGAGGCAGAGTGGACTTCCGTGAACTCCAGAGGGGGTGTTCAATGAACTCTGACGTGGGGGCCTCCTAATGAATGCATCTCAATGCAGGACGCCTCTTAAACAGGTGAGGTCCTCACCTGGGAAGGTCAAGGCCCCCAGCGCCGGGAGGTCATGGGGACAGGTAGCTGGTGCAGAGGAGTGCTGTGTGGCTTTCGCGAGCAGACGGCATTGTCTGTCTGTCCATCTGATGCCCAGACAGACAAGGGCTGGTCGCATGAGAGGTGAGGGCCTGGCAGAGTCAGAGGTGAGACCGCAGGGTGGACTGAGGGGTCTGCACAGGGCAGCAGTCAGAAGACCACGTTGTAGCTCGGGTCTCGCTCAGCATCTGACGCTTCCTCCCGTGGGCCCAGGCTGTGAGGCCTTCAGACGGGGGCACGCCTGGGGCCCGCTCCCGTCAGACAGAATCCCACCCCCTCTAATACGCGGCAGATGGGGATGGACACGTGCCAGGGCGGCAGGCCGGGGAAGTGGGGCGGCCAGCAAGAGCAGGGAGGGGAGTTTGAGGGGAGCCTTGGAGGATCGTTGAGGCTGTGACGGGTGGACGCAGAGCGGAAGGCGCGCATGGTGGGGATGAGCCTGAGCGGAGCCGGGGAGGTGGCGCATCGGTGGGCCAGCAGGCTGACTGGTCTGGTTTGTTCCGAGACTGTGTGTTGGGGAGTCGTGGAAAGGAGGCCAGGAAGGAAGGTTGGGTCATCTCAACAAAGCTCTCGAAGGCCTGGGTGCGAAGCTGAGAAGCAGTCGGGAGCTACGGGCAGTTGGCTGAAGAGGGAGGCTGGTCATGTGATTCCCCGACAAGAGCTGGACACCAGCTCCTGATCTCAAAGTGGTCCTGGCCCAGCGGGGCACTGGGGTCCCCGTGGCAGCAGGGGGCGGGTGTTGGAAGTAGCGCCTCCGTAGACGGTGCAGGGCTTGGGGAGCAGGGTCGGGGAGTCCGGCCACTTGACCGCATGGCTCTCCTCGCCCCCAGGGATGCCCTGCTCACCAGCACCATCAACTGTGTCACCAGCTTCGTCTCCGGCTTTGCCATCTTTTCCATCCTCGGTTACATGGCCCACGAACACAAGGTCAACATTGAGGACGTGGCCACTGAAGGTGGGTGGGCAGACACGAGAGGGGCTGAGAAAGCCAGCGCGCCCCTGGCCGGCGGCTTTCCTGTGGGTGGCTGTGGGGACCAGAGGGCTGGACCTGGAAACTTCCACACCGTCCGGATCACGGGCTTTCTCTGAGGCCGTCGGTGGGCGTTCCCGGCCGTCCTGGCTCCTGCCAGTACTCACGGGAGACCGTTTCAGACTCTGAGAGGCTGGCGCGGGCGGTGACCCCTTCCCGTGAGTCGGCCTAGGCGGGACCGATCGCGGAGCCCCGGGCTGAGCACTTGACATACCCTCATTAGTTCTCAC